GACACAGCTTGAACAGCTTGGTTTAATTGATGTACATTTTGTCTTCTATTCAAATAAAGTAATTAGTGTTTTGGTTAGGTAGTTGTCTTGAAATATAACATTAGGAATCCATTTTACTCTCAACCCATCCCATTTCTCTTATGATGAAAGAAAGATTAAATTTTTGCTAAATGCAGCTTACAAATGTGTTAAATGTTGATATTTCATAGCTTATAGAATGATAAAAGAAAATTATCAACTGAATAGTGCTCCACCATGAGAAAACAATTGTAACTCTTACATTTAAACAAGAAAAATCCTATTTTGGGAAGAGGAAAGAAGGATAAATTCATGAGATTTAGAACCAACCAGCTGCTTGATATGCCCAAAATAGTTTTATCTTTTGAAACAGCTTTTGGGGGGAATACCTTGGCTTCATACACAGGAAAATATGGTTAGGTTAGGTCTTTCCTATATCAAAAATAACCAAACACATTTTCCCTTGGACTAGCCCTCCCCTTAGTTTTTATACTATCTTTTTCACAAGCAAGTTTTTGTTTTGTCATCTATTCTTAAGGACTCTACCTTGTATTTTTCTCTTCAGTTACTACAGTTATTCTGACTTTTGTCCCCTACCTTTTCAGGGTTACCAGTAACCTCCTGCTCTTATAGACTATTTTTTTAGCCTTTACAAAGCATTTTTTAATGCTGACCATGCCCCTCCTCTTCTGTCTTCTTTTACACCATTCCCCCTGATGATTCTTACTTTCTCTATCTGCTCCTTAAAATGCCAGTGCGCTTAAAATTCTGTTCTTCACCTTTTTCTGCTGTTTATCTAGGTAATCATGTCCACTGTCATAGCTTTAACTACAATGTCTCTTAAATCTTTATCTTCTTATATTTTTCTTTTGAGTACCAGGTTCATATGGCCAAGAGCTTGTTATATATCTCTACCAGGATGTTCTACAGATCACTCAAATGTAACACCTTCCTTTCCTGCCTTCAACAGATGATGTGTCATCCTCCCAGCTGCTGGAATCAGAAATTGATTGTCATCCTCGCCTTTTGTTCACTCTCCTCTTTGTTGCAGTTAACTACCAAGTTCCATCAATTCTAACCTTTAAAAAACTGCCATTTCTTGAGTATCCATTGGTGGTAGGCACATTGCTAGACAATTTTTATATATCATCTGTTTCTTAAATTCCTCTAAATCCATATTAATTCCTAATTTCTATTCTCACAGCCATTTTTATACTTTTTCTTTTTTGAGACAGAGTCTCACTCTATTGCCCAGGCTGGAATGCAGTGATGCAGTCTCAGCTCACTGCAACCTCCACCTCCTAGGTTCAAGCGATTCTCTTGCCTCAGCCTCCTGAGCAGCTGAGATTACAGGCACCTGCCACCATGACCAGCTAATTTTTATATTTTTTATAGAGATGGGAGTTTCACCATGTTGCTCAGGCTGGTCTCGAACTCCTGACCTCAAATGATCCCCCCACCTCAGCCTCCCAAAGTGCTGGGATTACAGGCATGAGCTACTGCGCCCAGCCCATTTTCATAATTATTCAATAAATATTTGCTAATGTATCACTTTTAGGCCACAAGATCCAGAAACCTGGGAATCATCTTTGCCTCTTTTCTTCCTTCTCTTCCTTAAACCTCATGGCAGTCATTAAATTCTATTCCTTTAACTTCTTTGTCTTATTATTCATTCCACTATCACTGCCTTAGTTCCAGTCTTCATAAGTTCTTATGTAATCTGTTAGTGTTTATCTTAATTGTCTGCCTTTATTCTCACTGGACACCATCTATTTCATCTTGTATTACTGCTTCCTAATAATATTTTTCAAATATAAATTAAATAATGTCACAGTTCTCCATCATCATCAAAATAAAGATCAAACTTCCCAACACAGCACTCTAAAAGTGTTGTAATTTGGTGCTGGTTCATAAAATTCATTTTTCTTTGCATACAACTTTCATTCTAGTTTACCAAATTATTTGTAATTATGGAAAATACCAAGAATTCTTAATACCTTAATGCCCTTTGATCTAACTGGAATCATCTCCCTCTCCCTAATCCTAACTTATCTTTTTTTTTTTTTTCTTGAGACTTGCTATGTCTCCAGGCTGGAGTACAGTGGCATGATCTCAGCTCACTGCAACCTTCATCTCCTGGGTTCAAGCGATTCTCCTGCCTCAGCCTCCTAAGTATCTGGGACTACAAGTGTGTGTTAACACGCCCAGCTAATTTTTGTATTTTTAGTAGAGACAGGGTTTCACCATGTTGGCCCAGATGATCTTGATCCTTTGACCTGTGATCCTCCTGCCTCAGCCTCCCAAAGTGCTGGGATTACAAGCGTGAGCCACTGAGCCTGGCCAGCTTATCTGCTTAAACATCACCTTTCAGAAGGCTTTCCTGATAGCTGTTTTACCAAGCAATTGGTGTCATTCCTCTGCATTCCCCAAAAAAGATTATGTTTATCTTCATCTTATCATTTATCTCTTTTGTCTGTCTGTCTAGACTGTGAACTCCTTGAGGTCAAGAACTGTGTTATCTTTCTAATTTTTATTTCTGCATTAGGATGAAGGGGAGAGGAGGATGAGAAGGGAGGAAGGAAAAATGAAAGAAAATTAATAAATGAATTGATCCACTAGATAGTGTATCAAATTGCTAAATATTTTAGTTTTGATTTTTATTACCTTCATTTTAAATGGGCAAATAATAACCACTTCTTTATCTGTGTTAATTTACCCTGCATGCAAAAAAACAAAAAACTTTCTAATGGTATCAGTGGTAAAGGTTTACAATTAATAAAGTAATCCAGAAAATAAATGGCCATATTTGTTTTCTCTCCTAAAGAAAGGACTGTATTTAATCTGTTAGTTGCTAGTTACTTGGAGTGCTAACTAAAATACTAAATCAACTTTCGAGTTAACATTAAAATATATTTATGTTGATCTTTTATCCTTATTAACTATTAATATATCAATTTTAGTGAATTTTTCAGATATCAAATGGACTATTTCAACTAGTTCTATAGTCCTTAAATTCTCCAAACTTCTTTAAAGACAAAACATAAATCTAATTGTGGTACATTTGTAGAATTCATCCTTCCTCAGCTCCATTCATTTCCCATGCTATTTCAAGAACATTTCTGTTAAAGAAAAAAATATTTTTCATGGAAGATCTAAAACTGTTACAGTGCATTTTTACAGATATATCCCAAAAAATACTCTTATCTATGCAACAGTTGTTTGGCGATAAAATATTGTACCTGTTTGATAGATTTGCTTTATAGCTAAGGAGGATCAAAGTGAACTAAAGTACATCTCAGTTCTTTTTAATGTTTTGTTCTGTTCTCACATATTTCAACTATTTGAATAGTTCATCTGTTCTCATCTTTTCTACCTCAGGCATTTCAACCAGGTCCCTCAAAGGAAAAACACAAAAACTCATCAAACTTTGAAACCACCAATCAATATATATGCAGAAAAGTATGATGCAGAAAAGGGTAGGGGTAATTCAGAGCTTTTCACCAGGAGGCTAGTCATCTGTTCTTTTCTTGTATTATGAATGCAGAATAATGATTTTTATTAGAGTAAAACAATATAGCTTGTCAAGTTTATTATAATGGAATTTTTACTTACAAAGTTGATATGTCATAACTGAGGCTAAATGATATAAAACTAATAAGTCTTGTGATGCTTTCTAAACCTGTTTGCTGTCCAGCGTACTTTGTGTGTATGTGTGCATTTCAGCATAGTAAAAGTATTCTTAAGAGAAATTGAAAATAAAAGTATGGGACATCATAGTGTACAACTGTGGACTTTTTTTTAACATTCTTTTTTGCTCAACTGCTACATAAAATGGTTAGGACTAGAACCACCTGCTAGGAACATTCCTCCCGACTTAATCCATGTTTTACTAGTAAGATGGTTCCAGAGACCTTAACTTTACAAGACAAAGTGGGAGAAAAGATTCACATTCACATTGAAAAGCTCACGTCAGTTCACATTGAAAAGGCTAGGGATGTTTTTTTAACTTTCAGAAATTCAACTACCTTCAGTATTTCTGGTTATGTTTTCTTGGTTTACTTCTTTACAAGAATAAGTAATATTTAAGAATGCTATTTAAGATATTTATTTATCATTCACAAATACAGATTACACAAAGCACTGTGGTAGTTAGTGTTCCTTCAGATACTCAGATCCTGTTCACCAAGAGAAAGCAGGTACTGTACTTTTGTAGGTTTTAAGCAAATCTAGATTGCGCACTTGAAATGTCAAAATTCCAAGGCTAGCTTTCCTTTCAGGAGAAGTGGGTCAGAACATAACATCAAAAATGACTGTGTCTAGGCCGGGCATGGTTGCGCATGCCTGAAATCCCAGCACTTTGGGAGGCTGAGGCAGGCGGGTCACAAGATCAAGAGATCGAGACCATCCTGGCCAACATGGTGAAACCCTGTCTCTACTGAAAATGCAAAAAGTAGCTGGACGTGGTGGCACTCACTTGTAGTCCCAGCTACTTGGGAGGGTGAGGCAGGAGACTCGATTGAACCCAGGTGGCGGAGGTTGCAGTGAACAGAGATGCACCACTGCACTCTAGCCTGGCAACAGCAAGACTCGTTAAAAATAAATAAATAAATAAACTATGTATAGTAAAAAAATTTAACAGGCACTTGCTTCTTGTATTGGACTGTGTCTCATGTCAGCATGATCAAAGTTTTTAAATGAAAGAAATATAGAGTGATTTTTATTAGCATTTTTATGGCTGTGGTTCATATAAACACCTTTTTGTTTAATGCCGTCTTCTGTTCTGGGCATCTGATTGCTTGCTGAAATTTTCACTGGCTGGTGAAGAAGCCACTCAGACTTAAATTGTGTTTGTTTCTTGAAAGTGAGTCCTCAGCTTTCTGACTCCCAAATATTAATATAATGAAATGATACATTCACTCATTGGTGAATTCTTTTCTGTCAGTTTTGAATCTGGCAATTTACTCAATTTTCTTTATTTACAGAGCTTCCTTATGGCTGGGAGAAAATAGAGGACCCTCAGTATGGGACATACTATGTTGAGTAAGTTTGTTACCTCAGTTAATATTCTCCCAAATGTTTTCCTCTCAGCCTGCAGCTTTAGGGAATACTAGATACAGCACCCTATGCTTCTGTCATCCAGCTGTTGAGGTTTTCAACTAGGGGAGTGAAAAGGTAGGGTCAGTGAGCATTCACTTCATTGACCTTGGGCTTCCCAGAAGTTGGCTTTGAATTTCTAAATATAGAGAATAAGGGGGAAGTTGCCTAGAGGATTAATAGCTGGAGATGCTATTGTTACCACTACAGCCTCTAAAGAGAAAGTCATTTGATAGAAAACTGAAATGAGGGCAGTGGACAAGATGAATTATCAAGGTCATTTGCAACACCACCACTGTATGCTTCTGAAAGCAGTAGAAGAACATTAGGGTATTATAATTATCCAGAGTTTTGAAGTATACAGCTAAAGATGTGCTCTCTTTTAAGGAGTTATTCAAGGAAAACTTAATATTCGATTTAGGGATAAAAGTTGCTTCTTAGGCAGCTGTTATGGTTAAATTTAAACTTAAATCTATATTGGAGAGAAGTGCCAGACACCTGGCTGTGTTAGCCAGAGAAATTAAGCTAATGTCAATGTCTAATTTTTCCTTCTCTTTTCTTTAACTAATTGCTACGTTGTTATGACCATGAGACTACTTTCTTTCCAGATGCTAAACATTGAATTTGACCTTAAGTGTCTAGCACCAGGCAAATAATTGTATCAGAAGCACTACTATTTACCTGGAGACTAGGAGTCTAAACCTGCTGCATAGGTAGCAAAGACAAAATATTATTACTACCTAAAAAAGTAACAAACACAAAAATCTTTAATTTTATGATTGTGTCTTAATGTTTCAACACTTATAGGCATAAACTGATGCCATGTCCTGAGAATTATCCCTAACATAAGCTCTCTGATTCGTGTTGGAACTGTAGTCTTTATTCTTTTGTGCAGATTGTTACTTGAGTCGCTGTGGTTAGAGGGATTTTTGGAATGACTTCTTAAAATTAAATATGTCTCCTAAAGAAATGACTCAGTTAGATTGACACTTAAGTATATCAAAATTTCATTATCTTGGTTCCTTTGAAAGCTATGCTAATTTTGTTTCCATTGTGTTGTTTAATATCTTACTGATACTGTGATGTAAAAAGTATACAGCAGCTCCCTTATGTTTTTTTTCTAAGTCATATTTTGTGAAAGGAAGAAACAACCATTTTCATGTCAAAGGAGTATTTGGGGGCCAACAGAAAAGGTTTTACAGGACTTTTTTCTTCCCCTCAAAGTTTAGTCTATTTAAATTGGACTCTAATCAACTATTACTTCGATTGACACTGCTGAACCTTTCTGAGATAATGATTTTCATTCTCTTTATTATCCATTCCAAGTGAATTTGAATACATGGTCAAAAGGTGAAAGTCATTTTCTGGTTATAAAACCTTGAGCTGAATGATCTGGTCCCCATTATGCAAGGATATAATGTTGAAGCAACTTTAGGCAAATCCTGAAGTGTCTTGCTCCTAGTTGTCAGGGAGGTACATGAAATAGCCTGAATTAGAAGCAACAGCAGCAGCGACATGATTTTGGATGATTATTCCCAGAATAAGCTCATTTTATAGGAGGGTTTTGTATTAGATTAAGAAGGAGCAGACTGTACTCAAGATGCACATTAGCATGGAGTCTGCTGAGCAATGGAATGTGGCTTGATTCCCAGATTAGTTAGGTTTTGAATCTCAACCATAGTAATCTGTAGTGAGTTTACTGATGGAGATAAAAAGCTGTTACTTGAATGGCTACTCTTTGGCTCTCTTATTTTGTCAAACCAGATGGCACAATGATTGCTCTTGGCAGGAGACTTACTGTAGTAACACCAACTGCAATGGTAGTTTTTCTTTGTATTTATTTTAGAGGATGGGATTCTGAAATGGATGAATTTTTTTTTTTAAATAAAATTGTTCCAAAAATGTAATATGCTTATAATATGCATAAATATAAATATAAATAGGCTATAATAAACATAAATATGCATAGGCTATAAATATGCTCATATATTTAGAAATGCTGTCTTGATTGTATTACGTTACATGTCTTTTTAAAATTAACATATAATAGACATTTGAGGGTGCATAGGGATGTTTCAGTACATATAATATATAGCAATTACATCAGGGTAATAAGCATTAAGTGCCTTGATGCACCTAGGTGACAAAGTCAAAATATACACTTGCTTTCACAACTAAAACTCTTTTTTTTTTTTTTTAGATGGAATTTGCTCTTGTCACCCAGGCTAGAGTTCAGCAGCACGATACTGGCTCACTGCAACCTCTGCCTCCCAGGTTCAAGCGATTCTCATACCTCCCGGCATGCCTCCGGGAGTAGCTGGGATTACAGGCATGCACCACCACACTCCTCTAATTTTGTATATTTAGTACAGATGGGGTTTCATCATGTTGGCCAGACTGTTCTTGAACTCCTGACCTCAAGTTATCCACCCGCCTCAGCCTCCCAAAGTGTTGGGATCACAGGTGTAAGCCACCACGCCCAGCCATCTAAAACTCTTTATGAAAGAATATTTTGTTGGGATAAATTTTTACAGATATTAGATATAAAATTTTAATACAGATAATGTGCCAAATTAAGTATTATATTATTTAATTATTCTTGTTTGCTATCTTTATTTCTTTCTGTTAATCTATAATGTTCTCCTCTCTTATTTTCCATAGCTAGTTATATGGAAAACAAAATTTGTTATATCTTAATAATGGTGTGGGTATAAGTAACTAAATGAAAAGGACACTATTCTCACTTTTTAATTTTTATTTATTTATTTTTTTTTTCGGGTGGCATTTTAGTCTAGATAGTCTAAGATAATGAAAGCACTAACTTCCTTCACTAAATCTTACATTCCTCTGTCAAATTTTCAGGAAAAGGATTACTCATTTGCATACTTGTATTCTCTTCTTCCACACATTACAAAGAGTATAAATACAAATTACTACTGGCCGGGCACAGTGGCTCATGCCTGTAATCCCTGCACTTTGGGAGGCCGAGGCGGGTGGATCACGAGGTCAGGAGATCAAAACCATCCTGGTCAACATGGTGAAACCCCGTCTCTACTAAAAATACAAAAAATTAGCTGGGCATGGTGGCACGTGCCTGTAATCCCAGCTACTCGGGAGGCTGAGGCAGGAGAATTGCCTGAACCCAGGAGGCGGAGGTTGCAGTGAGCCGAGATGGCGCCATTGCACTCCAGCCTGGGTAACAAGAGCGAAACTCCATCTCAAAAAAAAAAAAAAATACAAATGACTACTTTTCATATTCTAATGCTTGGGTGGCAAAGTGAGTCATTCTAGCCAATGGCATTAAAGTGAAAGTGAGCCAAGGTTCTTTCTAAACAGGTTTATCATTTTCTGAGTGTCAATTTTTAGTTGTTTTTCAAAAGAATATGTAAAATATCAGTACCTATATAAAATTTTAAGTAGTTCCTAAGATTTTTATTTTTACAGAGTTAAAGAGTTAACTCTGGACAGTGTTATCCTCCTCCTGTTATGAAATAGAAGCATACCTGAGTGTTAGTGAAATCAGAACCCAAAGAATGTCCATATTTAGAGCTCTTAAACTATTTAGTAAGTAACCACATCTGTTGTGGAACTAGTATGCACCAGTAGCCTAAATGACATGGAGAAAGCTAACGTTCCTTTTTTTGAAGGTGGTATTTTAAGTTTTTAAATTTTTATTTTAGTCCCTGCTGCCCATTTCTCCATCACCACCCTTAATGTTCACAAATGGCAAAGCTCCAGTTGGGGCAACATAGTAAGACCCCATCTCTACAAAAAAATTTTTTTTAATTAGCTGGGCATGGTGGCACACACCTGTGGTCGCAGCTACTCAGGAGTCTAAGGTGGGAATATCGCTTGAGACTGAGAGGTCGAGGCTGCAGTAAGCTGTGATGGGACCATTGCATTCCAGTCTGGGTGACCGAACAAGAGCCTGTCTCAAATAAATAAATAAATAATAAATTTTCAACTTGTGTAACTATTTATATGTAGCTTTTGTAATATTCAGCCTACCTAAAGACAATCATATGAAATTCTCATGATTTGTTAATTAATTCTTGGTGTTCACTCATGTCACTTCTTATTAAAGTGGATTTTACTAGAAACTGTAGCATAAGCTGAAATATATTTGTACTATGGAAATGCTAGAATATGATTTTCATTGCTTCTGAATTAGACCTACTCATGGTCCTAAACATCTTTTTTTACAGCAGTCTCTTTCTTAACCAACTTCCACTTAACTGGCTTGCCAGAAGAGCAGTGCTCTATTTCTTTTGTAAAACATGCTGTTGCCCATAGCGTGTTGAATAGTTTTGGCTAACCTCCTAGCTGTTGATCTCTCCAGGCTTTCTGCTTTCTCTCACAGAGTTATATGCATTCCAAGAGTCATTAGTGAATGTTCCCAAATCGTAAATGCCAGTTGAACCTATGTTATAATTATTCAGTTAATTATATTTATGAAGAAATTCAAGTGTGAAATAGTTATTCTATAATATAATTGATAAAAGCCAGTCATTTTCTTAGTTGCTGCTGAATGGATATAAGTGAGTCAGTGGAAAAGTAATAATAATATAATTTTAAAAGGATTCTGTACACAAATTTCTTTGAAAGTATCTTTACAGCTTGCTTCATTTTGGTGAAACTCAAATTAAAACCCTTCTATCATTATCTGCCTTTTTCTAAAAAAATTAAATTACCAAGAACCAGTACTTCTGATTACATCAGATAAGAGAGTGTCTACTATAGTTTTGAAAACCATTATTGGCTATATTGTGTAGGTTTATGAGAAGCTATAATAAATATATTATCAAAAGCTTTATAGCTTGATGTCTTCTGCAGGACTTTATTTAGCTGACAGAAAGTCCCTCTGCTATCGTCTGTCAGTTCCTCCATGTTCCATAGCCTAAAGAGACATATTTGTCCCCTAATCTGTGGTGATGGAATGGTATGATAGACTATTAAAGAATATGTTACTGTTTTATTTTAAACTGAAATGTGTATTTTTTTACATTCTACAGTCACCTTAACCAGAAAACCCAGTTTGAAAATCCAGTGGAAGAAGCCAAAAGGAAAAAGCAGTTAGGACAGGCTGAAATTGGGTCTTCAAAACCAGGTAAACATTATTCTCAATCTTTCCTTCTAAGAATAACTTGTGAAATTCGTATGCTGAGTTAATAAAAGTGAGTTTGAACTTTTTATTGCTAGGGCTTTGACACTAGACAAAGAATGTCTAATTTTTGTTACTGTAAAGATATGAATAATCTTAAACATCTGAACATTATGAGAATACTGAGATTTTTCTCACCAGTATATAAAAAGCATGAAGTTGTTGGGGGAAGGGATTTAGTTAGCTTCTTTATGAATCTGAGATTTTGTTTTGAAGATTGGAATGTTTCCTTATGTGTTTAAGGCAAGGCCAATATTAGGTCTCTAATTCCTCGTTAGCTTTTCCCAAGTTAATTACTTACGTATGGTATCTGTAACCATTGAGGATTCTTCATTAGCCAATATATTAATAAGTAATAAATATGCCAAATGATTTACCTACATCATTGAGTCTCAAGTGGGATGGTAGGTATTAGTAATATCAGACTCATTTAGGGAGCATTTTAAAAAAATACAGATTCAGACATTTTGATGAGCCTAGTCATGTGTATTCTGAAAACACTGCCCAGGAAGTTCTTGCATTCTACTTATCCCTCCCCATCCCTTATCTAGCCCTCATTTGTCATTCATAATCAGGGGTATATATGGTCATATTGTAATAACCCAGTAGATTCTCCACTTCTGTTGCCTATGAGAGGAACAGTTCTTTCTTATAGTTACTCTTCAAAAACATACTCCTCCTCCTAAAGCTTTACATTTTGTTTTGCAAACATTTTGATAACAAGTACTACTGAGCACTGACTTTATGCCCAGTGCTTTGCTAGGCACTAGGTATACAAAAATTACTACAAGTAAGGCAGGGTTTGCCCTCAAGAGTTCACAGTCTAATTTAGGAAACTGATGGTTATAATGTATGGAAATACGTGCCATCCTCGAATAGTAGTAGTATGTGTAGGCTGAGGAACAGGTTTGGATCCCAGCTGTGTAACCTTGGGTAAGTTTCCTAAATCTCTAAATGCCCCTATTTCCTCATATGTAAAATAGGAATAATAATGGTACCCACCTCTTAAGGTGCTTATGAGTGTGTAAATTAACAGATGTAAAGTGCCTACAATGATATTAAGCACATGTTGACTGATAAATAATAGCTTTAATTGTTATTAATCGAGGTGTACAAGGTACGTACAGTGGTAGCATAAAGAAGGGAGTACCAACTTTACTTTGGTAGAGAATGTCAAAGAGGCAGGAGAAATTTCAAAGCAGAAGAGATATGAATTGGGTCTTGAAAAGTCAGGAAAAGTTAAAGCAGGCAAACAAAAATTTTAAAGGTACAAGAAAGCATACTGAGTAAAAGGAACAGAATGTTTGAAATCATAGAACCATGAAATGGTGTGCTGAAAGGCCAGAAGGCAGGTAGGCGTGGTTACAGCATAGGGTATTTGTAGGGTAGTAACAAGAGATGAGGTTGTAGGGATAGATACCATGAGAAGAGGGTGAGTATTTATGTCACATGTTGCTGGAAAGTCAAGGAAGTTGAAGATTGAAAAATATATGTTGGATTTGACAAAAGGGAAGTCATTAGTCAATCTAGCAAGAACAAGTAGAAAGTAAAGTTAAATTGCAATAGAATGAAGAGGGTATGGGAGGTGAGGAAGTGGAGACAATGAGTATAACCAACTGTTTTCATAACTTTGACCATGAAAGATTATAGACAGAAGACATGAACCGAAGAGCATCATGAATCCCTAATTTATATGTAAGGAAATGGAGACTTTAATAAACATTAAGCTTCTTGCTTAGAATAACAGTGAGTGTCAAATCAGAATTTGAACCAAGTTTTACTGACTTTAAATTCAGAGTTATTTGTATTATAACATAGTCCCTGAATTCGTGGCACATTTCAAGGGAGATTTTCTCTCCCTTACTAAACTCTAAGTTCCCTGCATTAGGTACCATATTTTTTATTGATTTAGATACCCAGGCACTCTCCTATGAGCTAGGGGTTAAAAGAAGAGTGAACACTCAACACCAGCCAGGTATAGTGGTTCATACCTGTAATCCCAGCACTTTTGGGAGTCTAAGACAAATGGATCATTTGAACCCAAGAGTTTGAGACCAGCCTAGACAACAATGGCAAAACTCCATCTCTACAAAAAACACAAAAATCTAGCCTGGTGTGGTGGCACACACTTGTAGTCCCAGCTACTCAGGAGGCTGAGGTGGGAGGATCACCTTAGCCCAGGAGGTTGAGGCTGCAGTGAGCAGTGATCACACCACTGCATTCCAGCCTGGGTGACAGAATGAGACCCTGTCTCAACCAAAAAAAAAAAAGGAAAAACAAGCAAACAAATACTTAACACCTGTCTTTCAGGAGCTCCCAACTTAGCCAGGGAATTACACACATAATTTTAGTATAGTATGATAATAGAGACATAAACAATACTGGTAGACAAAAGAGAGAAATTAAATCCAAATGTGGAAGGGCAAGAAAGGCTTCCTTGATGTTATTGGAGTTATGCTAGTTCTTAAGGAATAACAGCTACCATCTATTGAGATATTGAGTCAAATATAGAATTGGATACTTTGTATAATCATCTCATTTAAGTCTCAAAATAGCTCTGCAAGGTTATTAATATTATTATCCCCATTCAGAGGCTTTGATGGCATCAAGTTAAAATTGTCTGATGCATCTATCCCAAGGTTATCCTTTTCACAGAGTCAGAAGCACTCAAGTGGGTGAGCCAGGGAACCTCCTTTTTTGGACAGTATGTAAGAGTTTTGCTGATCTACATTTATTGCACACTTACTCTTTGTCAAGAAGTGCTTCCTCTTTTTTCTATGCATTACATAGTTTAATCTCTGTAACAATCTCATGAATTTTAGGTATAATTATCCCCATTTTATAGACAAGACAACTGAGGCTTACAAGGTTTAAACAGTTTACCCAGGATCACTCAACTGAATCACCAATCTTGGATTTGAAGTTGGGAATATTGATCTCAAAGACATCTTTGTGCCTTTATGATTTCCACTTTTCTATGTTTATTTTTTATTTTATTTTATTTTTTTGTTGAGACGGAGTCTCACTCTGCCACCAGGCTGAAGTGCAGTGGCATGATCTTGGCTCACTGCAACCTCCACCTCCTGGTTTCAAGCAGTTCTCTTACCTCAGCCTTCCAAGTAGCTGGGACTACAGGCACACGCCACCATGCCCAGCTAATTTTTGCATGTTGGCCAGGATGGCCTTGATCTCTTGACCTTGTGATCTGCCTGCTGCAACCTCCCAAAGTGCTGGGATTACTGGTGTGAGCCACCACATATGTTTAATTTTGATAAGACTTTGGCTGTTTTATTAATACTTTCTAAAATTAGGTGTGAACCACAACTTTTCCTTCCTCTTTATTTTTTGTACAACTTGGTTGTCATCTATTATATGCCAGTTTTCAAGTTTCCCTCTTAAAAGCCAATCTTATTCTAGTATTCCTGGAGATTAGGGCATGGGATAGCTAACCAGAATCTCAATATTTGGCATAAAAATGAAAAAGTTGCATTTCATATTGTCATCAAGTACCTGTCCGAGTACTCAGTCATTAGTGAAATATTCTTTTCTACAGTCTGGTAGGCAACATTAGTAGACACAGTCTTAATCGAATGGGTACTGCACACGTCAATTAAATAATTTTTAAAAGTAACATTTTGTTCAGAGACTGGTTGCTACTTTGAATGTCAGAAGCTCAACAAGAGCTCAGCAATGCACAGAGGTGTCACCGTAAGTAGGCTGATTGGCCATCTTCTGGCCTCACAAAATGGCATTTACTATGATCATTGCACTGCTGTCTGGAGTCCACTTCTTTACTTTGAGAAGCCCAAAATAGCTGGATTTTTCATTTGTTTGTATCAAGTGATTTTTGCAAATAAAGGCAAATCTGGGCATAACTTATCAAATAAGGTGGTTCCTACTTTCCACCGCAAACTTGCCATTGTCACTGCTGCCAGGACAGGCCTACCTCTTGAGGAAACTGTTTACTTATTGCACAGTCTGCATAACCACATAGAGCAGCACTAAGAATTGCTTTTCTTTCTGACAATAAGCTTTAGTACATACCTCTTAGAACACTGTGCCAAGAGGGGCAGCAGCAGATACATGTAAGTAACTTTGGACGTGATACTAGTGCTAGGTTTGAAATAAGCTACCATTATTAATTCAAGTTAATAGGGAAATGTACAACAAAACCACAATGAGATACCACTCCATGTCCACAAGAATGAGTACAACCAAAAGGACAGACCATACAACTGTTGGCAAGGATGTGGAGAAATTGAGGCCCTCCTATGTTGCCTGTGGAAATGTAAAATGGCATGGCTGCTTTAGAAAAGTTTGGAAGTTCATCAAAATGCTAAACATAATTACCATATATTTATAGTAACTGCTGGAATTCCACTCACAGTGTACACCCAAGATGAATGAAAATATGTCCACACAAAAACTTGTATGTACTTATATCAACATTATTCATAATAGCCAAAAAGTGGAAATGTCCCCAAATGTCCATCAATTAATGAATGGATAAACAAAATGTGATGTTTATCCATACACTGAGATGTTATTTGGCAATAATATAATAAAAATATTTTATATTTATTTAGTAAGTACATATTTAATATTTATTACTAATAAAGAGCAATGAAGTACTGATATATGCTGCAGTACAGATGAACCTCAAAAACACAGTCAATTGAAAGAAATCATTCAAAAACCCACGTACTGTATGATTCTGTTTATATGAAATGCCTATATTGGGCAAGTCTACACATGGATAGTAGATTTGTGGTTTCCTAAGGCTAGGATATGGACATGGGTTGGGAGAAATTGGCTAGTGATTGCTAATGGGCCTGGGGGTCTCCTTTGAGGAGGGAAGAAAATGTTCTAAAATTAGATTATGCCAATAGTTGCATGACATTGAATTGTACAGTTGAAATGGCTGAAATTTGTGGTATGTCAATTATATGTCAATAAATTTGTTAAAAATAGATTATGGCAGAACACCTAAAATCATTTTTCACAGTTAATTTAATACTTTGTAAATTATAAATCTGTACAATTTGATTCCGTTTTTGTCACTTCTCTAATGGCAGCCATGGTAGAGGAGAAGAGAGAAGAGGTTCTGGAAGGAAGCTGTTATTTGCATATGTGAATCACTAGGATCATCTAACCCTTAAAAATGGGCCTTTTAAAAGAACTGTGTAATTTTCTTCCTAAATTATCCACTAAACATGAGTGAAACGGATAGAAATATGAAGCTATTTACTGACAGTACAAAGATTCACTCCTTTTATCAGTTATAAATTAAGGACTGCAGAAAGCCTGAGCTGTGAATTATGAAAATTCTCAATATACTCTCTCTCATAAGTTTGTGACATTTGATTTCATCTTTCTGGCATAGTACTTTGCACATAAAACTCAGTAGATGCTTATTCATTTGAATTCATTTGTTAAGCATCTACTGGGTTTTGTAGTACAGTTGAATAGTATTCAAACTTTCAGGAACTGGGTACTAAAGGTTGTGTCATTTTGACTTCAATAATGGACCCCTAGTTAAGAGTAAGTGCAGACAAGGCAATGAGGAAGAGATAAAGTAGGTGCTTTTACTTGAGAATAACATTAAAAAGTCATATATAAGATTGACCTTGAGTGCTATATTCATTGTAATTATTTCTGTTCTCAAACCCACTTCTCATTTTGACACAGATATGGAAAAATCACACTTCACAAGAGATCCATCCCAACTTAAAGGTGTCCTTGTTCGAGCATCACTGAAAAAAAGCACAATGGGATTTGGTTTTACCATTATTGGCGGAGATAGACCTGATGAGTTCCTGCAAGTGAAAAATGTGCTGAAAGATGGTCCCGCAGCTCAGGATGGGAAAATTGCACCAGGTAACAATTTTTTTTTATAATTATTTGAAGAGTAGTGATACTGTAACAAAAATTATAGTGAAGAGATTTTACATGCATAAAGAGAGAGAAAGAATTAAATTATAAAACTAAAGAGAGAGATTTCAGGATTAAAATAGCTTATCCTCTAATTTTAAAAATGTTGTGTGCCTACAAAGTAGGTGTATATGTTTATGAGATATGTGAGCTATTATACTTTGATACAGGCATGCAATAAGTAATAACCACAACATAGAAAATGAGGTATCCTGTTTCATCTTCGATTTCATTTATTTGGATCTTCCCTCTCTTTTTCTGTTAGTCTAAGGTTTATTAGTTTTATCTTTTTTAAAAAAAAGAACTTTTTGTTTCATTGATCTTTTGTGTTGTTTTCTTCATTTCAAATTCATTTATTTCTACTCTTATTTTATTATTGCTTTTCTTCTATTAATCTGGAGTTTGGTTTGCTCTTTTCTAGTTAAGAGGGATCATTAGGTTATTTATTTGAAGTTTTTCTTTGTGTGTGTGTGTGTGTGTGTGTGTGTGTGTGTGTACATATATATATAGGCAATTATAGCTATAAATTTCCCTCTTAGTACTGCTTTTGCTATATCCCATAGGTTTTAGTGTGTTTTGTTTCCAGTATGATTTGTTTCAAGAAATTTTTCCAGTTTCCTTCTTAATTCCTTTATTGACTCACTGGTAATTCAGGAATGTATTGTTTAATTTCCATGTCTTTGTATAGTTTCCAAAATTTCCCTTGTTATTAATTTCTGATTTTATTCCATTGCAGTCAGAGAAAATACGTGATATAATTTTAATTTTTTGGAATGTTTTAAGACTTCTTCTGTGACCTAACATATGGTCTATCCTTGAGAATGATGCTGTGCTGAGGAGAATATGTATTCTGCAGCCGTTGGATGAAATGTTCTATAAATATCTATTAGGTCCATTTTGTCTGTAGTGCAGATTAGGTCTGATGTTTCCTTGTTGAATTACTGTCTGGAAGATCCGTCCAGTGCTGAAAGTGGGATGTTGAAGTCTCCTGCACCCCACAATTATGGTTTAATGTTCTGTGTTTTCTGTGTGCTATTGCCAGTGAGTTTTGTACCTTCACATGATTTCTTATTGTTCGTTAATGTCTAATTCTTTCATATTGAAAAACCGCCTTTAGCATTTCTTGTAGGACAGATCTAGTATTCATGAAATCCCTTAGCTTTCATTGTCTGGAAGGTCTTTATTTCTCCTTCATGCTTAAAGGATATTTTAGCCAGATATACTGTTACAGGGTAAAAGGTATTTCCTTCAGCACTTTAAATATGTCACGCCACTCTGTCCTGGCCTGTAAGGTTTCCACTGAAAAGTCTGCTGTTAGACATATTGGTGCTCCTTTGTATGTTATTTATTTGTTTTCTCTTGCTGCTCTTAGGATCCTTTCTTTATCTTTGACCTTTGGGAGTTTGATTTTTAAATGCCTTGAAGTAGTGTTCTTTGGGTTAAATCTCCTTGGTTCTCTATAACCTTCATGTGCTTGAATATTGGTATCTATCTCTAGGTTTGGGAAGTTCTCTGATATTATCCCTTTGAATAAACCTTTTACCTCATCCTTTTCTGTACCTCCTCTTTTGGGCCAATAACTCTTAGAATTGCCCTTTTGAGGCTATTTTCTAGACACTGTAGGTGTGCTTTATTGTTTCATATGCTTTTTTTAATCTCCTTTGACTGTATTTTCAAACAGGCTGTCTTCAAGCTCACTGATTTTTTCTTCTGCTTGATTGATTCTGCTGTTAAGAGACTGATGCATTGTTTAATATGTCAGTTGTGTTTTTTAACTCTTGATTTCTGTTTGATTCTTTTTAATTATTTCAGTCTCTTAAATTTATGTGACAGGAATCTGAATTTCTTCTCTCTGTTATCTTGATTTTTTCTTTCTTTTTTTTTTTGTTTTCTCCAAACAACTATTTTGAATTCTCTTTCTGAAAGGTCACATTTCTGTGTTTCTCCAGGATTGGTTCCTGGTGCCTTATTTAGTTCATTTGGTGAGGTCATGTTTTCCTGGATGGTCTCTGTGCTTGTAGATGTTTGTTGGTATCTGGGCATTGAAGAGTTAGGCATTTATTGTAGTCTTTGCAGGCTGGGCTTGTCTGTACCCATCCTTGTTGGAAAGGACTTCCAGGCATTTGAAGGGACTTGGGTCCCAAACCCAATAACACTGTGATTCTTGCAGACTCATATAGGTACCACCTTGGTATTCTTGGATACGATCCAGAAGAATTATCTGGGTTAACAGGCAGACTCTTGTTCTTTTCCCTTACATTCTTCTAAACAAACAAAGTCAGGGGTCTCTCTCTCTCTCTCTCTCTCTCTGTGCTGAGCCTCCTGGAAGTGAGGTTTGGGGGACATAAACATCCCTGTGACCACCACCACTGAGACTGCACTGGGTGAGACATGAAACCAACACAGCACTGGATCTTGCCCACAACCTGCTGAAACCACTACCTGGCTGCCACCTAAATTCCCTCAAGGCCCTGGGGCCCTATGATGAGCAGATGGCAAAGCCAGCCAGGTTTGTTCCTCTCTTCAGGATGATGATTTCCCCCAAACCCCGAGTGGGTTCAGAGATACTGTCTGGGAGCCAGGGATCAAAGTCAGAAACCTTACAAATTTTCCTGATATTCTGTTCAACTGTGGCTAAGCTGGCATTCAGATCACAATACAGAATTCTTCCCATTCTTCACTTTCCACAGGCAGAGGAACCTCACCCTGAGGCCACCACCACTGGCCCATGTGGGGGTGTGGGAGTGTTGCCAGGCCACTGCTAATGTTCACCTAAAGCACAAGTGCTCTTTAGGCAGCTTGTGATGAGTGCTGCCAGGCCTGAGACTCACTCTTCAGGGCAGTGGGCTCTCCTCTGATCCAGGCTACATCCAGAAATGCTGCCCAAGAGCTTAAGGCCTAGATACAGGCACTCTGAGAGCCTGCTTCTTGCTCTGCTCTACCTACTGTGGCTGACCTGGTACCTAAGTTGCAAGACAGACTCACCTTTACCATTCCCCTTCCTTTTCTCAAGCAGCAGTCTTTCACCATAGTCACCACAGCAGGGAATGTGCTGGGTCACACCTGAAGCCAGCATATCTCAGAGCCCAGTGCCTGTGGTATATTTATTACCCAGCTATTGCTGTTGGGTATTGAGGGCTTAGGGGTTCTTGAGCAGGCAGGTGATGAAACCTGCCAGGTCTCTGCTGTGACAGGGCAGCACTGAGTTCAGTGAAAAGTCCCTCAGCCACTGTGCTGTCCCTCTCCCAAGAACAGATTTCTCTATACCAGGTGGCTGCTGCTGGGAGGTTAGGAGAGGTGACATAAGCACTCCATTCACTGCCCTGGCTCATGTCTCATAGGTTGAGCCCGGTGGCTCTGATCCCAGCTCAGGACTTGCCTTGGAATTGCAGTCCTTGTGGCCCAGACTGCCCCTCATGTTCACTCAGGGCCCCAGAGCACTCCAGCCCACAGTGGTGAGGCTTGCTGGAACTGAGTCTCTAACACTGGGATTGACAATTCCCCTCTGGCTAGGGCCAGCCTAAATGCTCCCTTTGTTGGCATGTGTCAGCTGAGTACATCCTGGTTCTGCTTTCCACTGTGACAGGGCAGCACTGAGTTCAATGCAAGTCCTCACAGTCACTGCGCTCACCCTCTCCCAAGCGTACAGATTCTCACGTCGCTGCAGGGAGGATGGGGGAGGAATAGCACTGGCAATTCCAAACTGTCTTTGCTAACCTCTTCAGTGTCTCTTTCGGTGATATGAAGTGCAAACCAGGCACTGTGTTTGCTCACTTGTTCTTTATCTCTTGTAATGGTACTTTTTGTGTGTAGTTAGTTGTTAGAATTTGGTGTTTCTGTGGGGGCAGGGAGATGAGTAGTGTGGACTTCTATCTGCCAGCTTCCTCTGCCTCTGCAACCATCTATCCTCTAAACTAAATGCATATTATCTTTGATGGTGGGCCATTTTACAAACAAGTGAAAACTATTGGAGAAAACATTAAATGTATTAATATTTTGAAATATTTTATATAATTTTGAGATAATATTTTGTTGTATAAAACTAAAGATTTATTAATCATCTCAAAAAACTATTTGTTTGATTTTCTTTAATTATAAAGCTTACTATGGAGCTATTATTTGCCTATAGTCTCATTTTGAAAAATGGTCCATTGTGGTGTTTATTATGATATCAAACTGTTAAATCTTACAGTTTTTCCCAACTTTGTTTGCTTCCTTAATCATACAGGTTATTAAATTGAACTCCTATGTTAAGAATTATGGACATAAACATTGCCATTTTTACAAAGTTGTGTAAACTTGTATTTTCTGTAGTTTCCTAAAGCCTTTACTTGGTAATTGCTGGATATTTTAATATGGCTGGCAGTGTCTGTGGCTCATGAGCTTGGAAGATGTTCAAGACTAGTTTCTGATTATGGGGGACGTTTAAGTATTTTTTCCAGAAAGATTTTAGCATTATACTGAGGTTGATTTTTGCAGTGTTTGCTAGAATTTTCTAATCCTCTGTTGCTTCACATGCCATGTAAATATGGACCAACATTCAGATGTTTGAATTGTCATAGTATTTTTTTTAATCTCCCATATTACGCTTACCCACTGAGGAAACAAAAACTTAAAACAAGAAAACATAAAATAATCAAAAGTTATACTTGTGAAGGAAAGTCTTTTTATTCTACTTTATTACTTTATAAAGTTAACAAACTTTAGAAATTAAAATGAATAGTAAGTTTCTTTTGTTTTCAGTTTTGACCTTTTCAACATTTTGTCCATGCAACACGTCTTAGCTATTGTGTATGCTGTCAGGATTTCAAAACTTAGCTTAATATTTGTCTAAAATGCTTATCTAATTTGCATGGCAATACAATATTTCCATGAAAATTCTGGGAGCTTTAACACCAGATTGAGTTTTTTTAAAAGCCATCAGAACAAATTAAAGCACCCTTATTTAACCTTTTAAATAATCATATTCAAATAAAAGCAAATAGATGAGACAACAGGGGCCAAATTTTAAGTCAGGGCTTTATTAAAAGCTACCCAATTGATGACCATCAAGTGGTAATGATTCTGCAACCAAAACAGTCATACTAAATGTAAATCAGAAACGCAAAACCAGTTTTTATAGGGATTTATTAAGCTGACTTCTCAATGTCTTCAATAATGCATTGTTTGTGTCTGTTGAATTTTTTGTTATTTGTTTTGCCTTTTGAAATCTGATTTATAAATCAAATTCAAAATCTCTGCAAAAGAAGGATATTACAAGAAAATATATTCATAAATTAACATCATTCTGATCTTCAGCTCAGTATTTCTCAAACTAGAATGAAGTTTTAAAGTACATTGTAATCAGTGGCTTTTGTGGGTTGTTTTTGGTTTTGTTTTGAGACAGAGTCTCACTCTTGTTGCCCAGTTTGGAGTGCAATGACACAATCTCAGCTCACTGCAATGTCTGCCTACTGGGTTTGAGCAATTCACCTGCCTCCGCCTCCCGAGTAGCTGTGATTACAGGCACACACCACCACGCCTGGCCAATTTTTTTTTTTTTTGAGACAGAGTTTTGCTCTTATTGCCCAGGCTGGAGTGCAGTAGCTCAGTCTTGGCTAACTGCAACCTCCTGCCTCGTGGGTTTAAGTGATTCTCCTGCCTCAGCCTTCTGAGTAGCTGGGATTACAGGTGCACATCACCACACCCAGCTAATTTTTTATATTTTTAGTAGAGATGGGGTTTCATCATGTTGGCCAGGCTAGTCTCGAACTCCTGACCTCAGGTGATCCACCAGCCTTGGCCTCCCAAAGTACAGGGATTACAGGTATGAGTCACCATGCCCAGCCTAATTTTTTAATATTTTAAAAATGTTAGCCAGGCTGGTCTCAAACTCCAGACCTCAGGTGATCCACCTGCCTCAGCCTCCCAAAGTGCTGGGATTACAGGCATGAGCCACTACATCCAGCCAATAGCTTCTTAAACTCAATAAATAAGGCGGTATTTAAAGATAGACTGTTTGACCCCATCAAAAAGTGGACAAAGGTTATGAACAGACACTTCTCAAAAGCCACATTTATGCAGCCAACAAACATGAAAAAAAAGCTCAATATGACTGATCATTAGAGAAATGCAAATAGAAACCACAGTGAGATATCATCTCATAGTAGTCAGAATGGCAATTATTAAAAATTCAAGATGCAATAAATACTGGCACGGCTGTGAAGAAACAGGAACACTTTTACACTGTTCGTGGGAGTATAAATTAGTTCAACGAATGTGGAAGACAGTGTGGCGATTCCTCAAGGATCTAGAATCAGAAGTACCATTTGACCCAGCAATCCCATTACTGGGTATATACCCAAAGGAATAGAAATCATTCTACTATAAAGTAATTCTGCCATAAATCATTCTACTATGCATGTACACACATGTTTATCGCAACACTATTAACAATAGCAAAGACAGGAACCAACCAAATGCCTGTCAATTATAGACTGTATCAGGAAAATGTGGTACATATACACCATGGAATACAATGCAGCCATAAAAAGAAATGAGATCATGTCCTTTGCAGGGACCTGGAAGAAGCTGGAAGCCATCATCCTCAGTAAATTAACACAGGAACAAAACTAAACACTGCATGTTCTCACGCATAAGTCGGAGTTGAACAATGAGAACACATGGACACAGGGAGGGGAACAACAAACACCAGGGCCAGTCAGGGGTTGGGTAGGCAATGGGAGAGAGAGCATTAGGACAAATAGCTAATGCATGTGGGGCTTAAAACCTAGATGACAGGTTGATAGGTGCAGCAAACCACTATGGCACATGTATACCTATGTAACAAACTACACATTCTCTACTTATATCCTGGAACTTAAGGTAAAATTAAAAAGAAAAAAAAAGGTATCAGGTGTGAAGGAGGATTTCTGGCTATAGAGACTTGACAGGATTCTTGCTGAATGCAGGTTAAGGTGGTCAGTAATCACCTGGAAGATGGTGCGGAATGAGGACGTAGATTATATATCAAGAATGGGTGATTTTGGCTAAATCAACTTAGCAGGATTCTTGCTAAAACTGGGCTTTGAAGGACATGCCAAGGATGAGGCCTAGTGAAAAAAGAGCTCAGAGGAGCCTGTCTAGAGTTTGGTTAAGGACAGCCTCTTTGTCAGTGTATGTATATATGCACAGATACACATATAGATACACATATATAAATAAAATTAGTTGATTCATAAGATAGAAGAAAGATAGACTGTACAAGTAGTCAGTGGAGTTACTTGCTCCTCTTCTGTGTACCAGATACCTGCTACAATGTGTCTAGCTTTGCATGGTCACTTAGATATGACTCAGAGGGTATACTAACAATGATAATATGAATTATCAGGATTTTTTTTTAATGATTCACTTGAGCTTGAAGTCAAAATTATTTTGCTACTAAAATAAGTAGGATTTTAGATACTTACACGTACATTTTAGAGAGGAATTAGAAAAGGTTTAATGTCTGTATTAGAAGTCTGTCTTTGCAGCAGTTAACAGTAAGATGTTTCAGATTTAGTTGCTAAATAGTAGTTATTTTTCCTCCTCTGGCAAAAAAAAAAAACTTATTTGTTGATTTTAATATTTTTAACATGATTATGTTTTACCAGGTGATGTTATTGTAGACATCAATGGCAACTGTGTCCTCGGTCACACTCATGCAGATGTTGTCCAGATGTTTCAGTTGGTACCTGTCAATCAGTATGTAAACCTCACGTTATGTCGTGGTTATCCACTTCCTGATGACAGTGAAGATCCTGTTGTGGATATTGTTGCTGCTACCCCTGTCATCAATGGACAGTCACTAACAAAGGGAGAGACTTGCATGAATCCTCAGGATTTTAAGCCAGGAGCAATGGTTCTGGAGCAGAATGGAAAATCGGGACACACTTTGACTGGTGATGGTCTCAATGGACCATCAGAAACAAGTGAGCAGAGAGCATCCATGGCATCGTCAGGCAGCTCCCAGCCTGAACTACTGACTATCCCTTTGATTAAGGGCCCTAAAGGGTTTGGGTTTGCAATTGCTGACAGCCCTACTGGACAGAAGGTAAAAATGATATTGGATAGCCAGTGGTGTCAAGGCCTTCAGAAAGGAGATATAATTAAGGAAATTTACCATCAAAATGTGCAGAATTTAACACATCTTCAAGTGGTAGAGGTGCTAAAGCAGTTTCCAGTAGGTGCCGATGTACCATTGCTTATCTTAAGAGGAGGTAAGTAATAGCACAACATAGAAAAAGTTCCAGTGTTCAAGCATTTATATCTATTGATTGTCCTTCCTTACAGTTTAGAGGATCTTTTCCCTGCAGTCTTAGATAGTAATCAGTGCACATTTTCCTTAAGGTTCTGTCTGTTTGTTTCCATAAGCAATATCTTTTTCAGCAGTGTTTAAAAAGTTATTAGTGGTTTCATTCATGTCCATCATGGATTTATTTCCCTCTGTATTCTTTTGAAAATCTGATTCATGGCTTTAATGATTAGAGAGAGTAACAGCATTGTGTTACTTCAAATGAAATATATCCTCTTAATTTCATTTCTCTGTTGATGACAGTAATAGAAATTGACTCTTTCAACCAATGGTGCTTCATCTGGACCTCTGTAATGCACCAAAGACGTTCTGAGAGAGCTAGCATCTCTGTGGATAAGTAAAATGTTGAATGGTGTGTTAATCTGTTCTGCAGAGGCAATCATGATGGCCTGTGCTCATAAGGCTTTTATCTTAAGCTCTAGTATCTGCCTGTAAATGTTAATTAAACCACACAGTGCTTATGTGAGAGAAATATAATTTTATTTTCCAAGGTCATCAGCTGACATGAACTGCTCTCAGACATTTACAAATCCAGTTCCAAGGACTAATCACAAAGTTTAACTTTAATAGGCTTTCTTAAATCCATACTTATGAGTGACTAGTATTTTAAAGAATAAAACTTACTCTTTTATCTCTCTGGATTTTAGTTTTCACTTTTGAGGCAAATGAGCCCTTCTACTTCTTTGGGGAGTTTTTTCTTATTCTCATTTTTTTTATTCATATGGGTTTCTTAATAGTGATGGTAGAATGAATGTGCTCCAAATAAGGTAGAAATCTCTTTGTGTGTGCTTGAGAGTAATTCAGGGCTTCAACAAATAGAACAAAGAAAGACAGAGAAGTTTTATGTCACACAGGTTTGATGTTAGTTTCCTGCCTTGCCACTTAACTGGTTTTTTGGTATAAGGAAGAATCTTAGTTTACCTTCTCTCTAAAATGATCATAATGTTTGTGCCTTCAGATTATGATAAAAATAAAATGAGATAATCTATGTATAATGTCTGGTACATAGGAGATGTTAGGCACAGATAGAATTTACTAGCCTACTAAAAGTTGAAGCTAGTTTTATCATCAGCAATAGCAGTATTTGTGATCTGGGAATGCATCCTCTGGTTTTAAAATTTGCCTCATTTTTTTTTAAGGTCCTCCTTCACCAACCAAAACTGCCAAAATGGTGAGTATACACTGGCCCTCAAATCTTTTTTCCAGCATACTGAGGGAGAGGCGACATTCCTCTCTGTAGGCGCTCACTGTGGTGGTGATTATTGACCAGAAGTTAGGCTTGCTGCCCTTGGCTTGTATTTATTAGAAACTCAGGAAGTGTTTGGAAAAGCCTCCTAGTGAGGAGATGTGCTCTACAGGTTAAGCATTGCAACTGGAGGACTACTGAAGGCCTATTCTACCAGTATTCCTATTCTCTAAATTATAAAATATGAACACATTAAAGAACCAACCTAGTGGTTTTTTTCTGTGTTTCAGAGAAACAAGTTAAGAAGGACCTAACTGTTAAGACAGATGATAAGCTATTACATCTTCTTGCTCATGCCTGAAGAGAAGACATGGTAGTTCACATAATTTTATGGGGACTATAAATATGCATACACCTTTAGGTAATCTTCTTACTTTTAAGACTAAACGAGCCTTTCTAGAGTAATTGGTGTTCTTCTGTGCTAAATTTGCTTGTTATCAAAGTAAAAGGTCCTGAAACAGTGTCTTCTGTGGCATTCTTCTAAATAACCATGGAGCCTATTTAAGGACCTCTACAGAGAATAAGAACTTTTAAAAGGGGTGCATCAAATACTACTATTATGCACATTTATGGCTATGAGGTGCACATTTGTAGCTATTTAAATATCCACAATGTTGTGGATATAAAGATAATTGTATTTAAAATTCTAATTTAGTTCTAGTTTCTGATTTGCGGTCTTTTATCTCAAAATCAAAAGATGGCTTTCCATAACCATAAACTATAGAAGGTTGTTACATGTCTTAGTTCTTTCTAGCCCACCAAGTAATCCTCTGCAAATTTGCTGTTTTATGGATCAAACAGAAAGAATCTCTCAGCCCTTGCCCGTTTTTTCCTTTTTTTTTTTTTTTGAGACAGAGTCTCGCTCCATCACCCAGGCTGGAGTGCAGTGGTGTGATCTTGGCTCACTGCAACCTCTGCCACCTAGGTTCAAGCGATTCTTGTGCCTTAGCCTCTCGAGTAGCTGGAATTACAGGTGCATGCCACCACATGTGGCTGATTTTTATATTTTTAGTAGAGATGAAGTTTCACCATGTTGGCTAGGCTGGTCTCAAACTCCTGACCTCAGGTGATGTGCCCGCCTCGGCCTCCCAAAGTGCTGGGATTACAAGCGTGAGCTACTGTGCCCAGCCAGCTTCTGCCCTTTTAATTGGTTGCTTATACTACTTGGATCCAGTGTGAACAAAAATTGTTCAGTTCATATTGCACTGTATTCTTCTACATTTCTCTGGTTCCTCTAGTAATCATTTCAACTCCTGTGTCACCATATCTATTTCATAATGGATGCCACTGCAGCTGCAGTGACCCTGATGCTTTATAATTGATGGAAGGGCCTGATGACCTTTAACTGCTTCTGACAGAGTGGTAGGATATGTGGGGAAAGGGCGGAAGACTACTGTTAGCTTCTCTGCCTTCTGATTGGGTCTAGGTCATTGAAGGGTACCCTTGAGCACAACATTTTGCAGTGGCTAGCCCCTGATAACTCCCTGACAAGCTGGTGCCTCTGCATTCTAGTCATTGTTAATGATCACAAGCATCCATAATCTCCCTTGCCTAACAATAATTCAGGATAACAAGCTGGTCTCAAAGCCATATTTCTTAGGCTGTTTATTGGATTTCATTTTTAACATTTTATTAAAGAAGTCATTTTGCTTGGCTATTATTTTGGGAAAGTTCTATCTAAATAGGAAAAGTATCAAAATATGCTACTATGTTTTCCCTTATCTAATTGTCTTGCATGGTACATTTTCTTTCTCTTAATATATGTGAATTGGCCAGGCAGGGTTTTCATAGTGCCATCCTTATAACCTAAATTAAAGTTAACCTCTCCTGTTTTCTTAGAAAGAGTATTATCTTAAATATCTTCCTTAGAAATTAAGCTCAGTGAGTGGGAGGTGGGTCATGCCAAGAATATTATGAAGACATTCTCTGAATCTCCCTGTTACTTTACTTAGAAGTGCTGCCTTGTGTTGTATTTCGGTTTATCTTCATCTCAAAGTCAATTTGTGTCTTGGTGGTAGAGAAAAGGGCAAAATTGTTTAAATATAGGGCTAAGACTCTTTAGTTGATATCACTATAAACTTTTTTCTAATTTAGGTTTAATGTTTCAACCAAATACACATGGCTATGAAAATGAAAATTCCTGTAACTATAAATCTGCTGTGGCTTTGATTCTGCCACCTATACGACTATAATCAGTTGACATATCCATTTCAGATACCAGTTTTATAAATTAATCAACCATCTGATTTAAAAGAAAAATACTAAGTGAGGCCCTTTTCCATTTCAGAAAACAGATAAAAAGGAAAATTCAGGAAGTTTGGAGACCATAAATGAGCCTGTTCCCCAGCCCATGCCTTTTCCACCCAGCATTATCAGGTCAGGATCCCCAAAATTGGATCCTTCTGAGGTCTACCTGAAATCTAAGACTTTATATGAAGATAAACGTAAGTAGCTGTGGAATTCTTCAGGAGAGCATGTAACGACATAGATTTGTCTTCTTTTTAGGCTGGGCTCTTCCCATCTTTCAAAAGCATTTTGAAAAAAAGTTATTCCTTCATTACCATTTTAATATAACTCTGGACTTCTTCCATGTATATTCAACAGTCACACATTCATTTTTTCAAAATCATTTATTAGGTGCTAGTTATCTACCAGATGCCATACTAGGTAATTAGATTACAGAGATAAATAGGTTACATAGGACCTGAACCCAAAAATATTATTAGAACTAAATGGAAAAGGCAAATATGTAATCAAATAGTATGTGAATAAGTACACATAATAAGCCTAACAGGTACAGTGATAGAAAAACGAAATGGATAAATTGGGATCCAAAGAAGGAATATTCAGTTTTATCAGTGTGGGCGGTAGGAACTGTCAGGAAAAGCTTCATACTGGAGGCAAAGCTTTAAGTCATCAGGGATGAAAAAGTGTCTATGAGGAAGACAAAAGGCAAAGAAGGAATAGCACTTGCACACTGATCTTGCATGACTTGGGTTCTGCAAGTAGTTCACTTTGGCTCTGTGCAATTGGCAAGGAAAGTCACAGAGGAGAGCAGGAACAGATTGTGGAAGGCCAATTCTAAGGGAACTGCAGTTGGTCATATAAATAACAAAGAACTACAGAATGCTTTTAACTATGGGGAAGACATAGTTTTGTGTTTTAGAAAGGTTTCTCTGGCAAGAGTATGAAGGATGAATCAGAAGTGTATGCAATTTGAGGAAGCATGTACAATTTAAAGAGGAGACTAAAGAGTTGATTCCTTAAAGGAGTCCGGCTGAGAGAGAAAAAGAGAGAATGTATAAGGCAGAAATTCATGCATGTTCCTACTAATTCACTTACTAATGATAAATCTTTTCCCAACAAAATTGCAGATTTAAGTAGGTATAATTTTTTTTTATTTATTTGTTCTTAAGAAATAGATGTAAATCTACCTTGGAAAAGATATGTACAAGTGGAATATATATGTAATTGACTTTATGCTTATTTAATCAGTTGCAGAACTACATCTTGATAATCTCAAGCCATATTTAGAAAGATGAAAACTAGTTGTACACATAGCAAAGCAATAATTTAAATTAGCATAACTATAGAATCCCTTTCTTCATACTTTCCATTTATAGCCTGATACATTATTAATACTGGTATAAACTCTGCAGTCCCATTAGGCTTCCCCCATAAAATAAATGAGTTGAACTCACAACTCTTTTTTCTTTCCAAGATGGAGTCTTGCTCTGTTGCCCAGAGCTGGAGTGCAGTGGTTCAATCTCAGATTATTACAACCTCTGACTTCCAGGTTCAAGCAATTCTCCTGCCTCAGCCTCCCAAGTAGCTGGGACTACAGGCACGTGCCACCACACCCAGCTAATTTTTGCATTTTTATTAGAGACAGGGTTTAACCATATTGGCCAGGATGGTCCTCAACTCCTAACCTCATGATCTGCCCGCCTTGGCCTCCCAAAGTGGACTCTTTTAATCTCTAAAGTTCTAGAATTTTTTTTTTTTTTTTTTTTTTTTTTTGAGACGGAATTTCGCTCTTGTTACCCAGGCTGGAGTGCAATGGCGCAATCTCGGCTCACCGCAACCTCCGCCTCCTGGGTTCAGGCAATTCTCCTGCCTCAGCCTCCCGAGTAGCTGGGATTACAGGCACGCACCACCGTGCCCAGCTAATTTTTTGTATTTTTAGTAGAGACGGGGTTTCACCATGTTGACCAGGATGGTCCCGATCTGCTGACCTCGTGATCCACCCGCCTCGGCCTCCCAAAGTGCTGGGATTACAGGCTTGAGCCACCGCTCCCGGCCCAAGTTCTAGAATTTTAATAGGAAGTATCTATTAAAAGATATTGCTTCTATAGAATATTATCAGGAATTTACTAATCTCACTTTTTATATAGTTCTCTGACATGTTTATTTCTTTTCTCTTTCTAGTAAATACTTCTTACTTATAAATAACATTAATATTTTCCCAAAGAAAAAAATTTTAATCATGAAATATATTTTTGTGACTTAATATTCTAAGGAATACAACTTATCCTTTGAGGGTAGGATAGTATGGGTTAAGAGATTAGACCCTGGAAATCAAACTGGATTTAAATCTCAGCTTCGCCGTTTGCTGTGTGACAGTGGCCAACTTACTTAGACTCTCAGTTTTCCCACCTAGAAAACGGGGCTAATCATAAATGTTAGCTGTTATTTATTTTCCTTTAACATGCTATCATTTTGCAAAACTAGTCTAGGTAAGTAGTTCATATGGAATACTTTTCTGAGAGAAAGGTATTAGCTTGAGAGCAGAAAGAAGATATTTTACAGGCACTCCTAAGATTGAAAGTACCTTACTCAGGTGTTAACTTAGGTCATTTGCACCTATCAAATATCAAACTCAAATTTGATCATTCTGAATTTAACATTGTAATATTGATTGGACAGCATTAGAAGTTAATGGTGGTGTAATACTGAGTACATGGAAATGAGAGTAAATGTTTCTCAGCAGTCTTGATACAGTTTTGTTTAGAGTCAGAACAAGGATTTATAGTTGAATTGTGTGTGTTACACTCTTGTGCACATTTTCACATACTAAAAAGTTCTGAGATTATGGCTTATTGAGTTTACTGTATAATATTCTACTAAATATTGAACTTTGTTTTAATCCTTTTAAAATAAATAAAAATATTTATTTTGTATTTTCTAATTTTCCTTAGCACCAAACACCAAAGATTTGGATGTTTTTCTTCGAAAACAAGAGTCAGGATTTGGCTTCAGAGTGCTAGGAGGAGATGGACCTGACCAGTCTGTAAGTGTCACTTCTTTGGAACATGGCTGTTTCCTGTTCAAACGTTTTGAGTGGTGATTTGGTGGATTGTAGTGTGTTTTGTTTTGTTCTTTGGGTTTTTTTTCTCTAACAGTTTCATTCATATGAGGAAGAACTGCGTTTCTATTAGTATCATAGTCCCTCAGTTATTGTGGTGTAGCTGAGGCTAAAAACTGGGTAAAAATGGAATATGTCAGCTGCAAATTAGGCAATGATTAATTTATTTACTTCTCTGTGTGATTAACTACATGAAGCTTATTTTAACTTTTGTATTTTTCTTTGCCCTCATTAAACAAAGCCTAAGACATTTTCCTTTTCTAAAAAACCTATAATCCCGTGTCCTCTTTCCCACTATTACTCTATCTTCTGAAAACTCCATAAATGGTTGGCATGAGCCTGTGCATATTATTTCACCTAATCTTATTAATAGGTTGGCATTTTCATGCTCAGTACTTTGCATGTCATTTCATCTGTTACCTTTGAAACTAGAGGAATATAAAATAATTAATATTTTTGTCCAGTGGCATAAGGGTTATATTTGCTAAGCATTTAAAGTCTAGGATTTTGTTTACACATGCTTCTCATATAAACTTGTTTTAAAGAACAAATGTAGTGGGGTTTTGTTTCTAGGTTTTGCTCTTGATTTGAATAACAAAGAAGTAATGTGTTCCATAGAATTTTTAAGAACATATTTGCATTGTTTTTTATATAATATCATGAAAGGCTACATTATGCTTGGAAGTTAGGTGAAGCACAATAATCTTTGAAAATGATAGACTTCTTCCTATTTCTGAATAGAACATTTGATTTATATAGTATAAATTTGTTCTAATTGGTCATACTGCTTACAACTGCAACAGTCATTTGAGACACATAAAGCTTAAGGCAGGTTGCCCTACGTAGAACAAATACGAGCTACTTTGATTGTTCTTGGTTGTATTTGTATTTTTGTTTTATTGCTTCCTATTTTGTTGATATTCGTAATGTTCACTTAGATATTTTAAGAATTTGTCTCAAACAACTTAGAAGAAACCTTTCTTTTCTCTTAAATGTCAGATTTTAGCAGATCTGAAACTAGTCCAAACATTCAGGATTGCCTAATTAATAGGATTCTAATGCTGGTGAGCAAAATGAACCAGATTTTTCACCTGGATGCAAGTGAGCTTCAGGCCACTCTGTTCCCATTGAGATTTAGAAACAAGAAATGTTTCTGTGCTATGTATATTGAACTTGTACCATTAGTCATATGTGATGAGAGTACCATTGAGAATGATCCCAATTGCTGTGAACAGTATTTAGAAAATCTTGCCTGATGACATTAAACAGACTTTTAATAGCTACTCTGCAGAATTATGTTTTCTGAGTTTTGTATTTTGTTTCATTGTAATGAAGGGGATAATAGTGGTGCTTTTTGAGTTATGGAACAACTTTGTATTATCTGTTTTCTTCGTACACAGCCCTGAGAATCTAGAAGGGATTGCATAATACAGTGTGATTATTTGGAGTGCCATTTTGGAGAATGGACACTTCCTCAGATAATACCTTTCTAAAATATGACTGTTTTCATAGTTGAACTGCAAAAATCTGTTGCTTTGCACAGTGCTAAGTTAGGAATTCCTTAACTCTTCAGCTAAACTTTAGACTGTGGATCAACCTATACTTTGTCATCTTATCAGATATATATTGGGGCCATTATTCCTCTGGGAGCAGCTGAGAAAGATGGTCGGCTCCGTGCAGCTGATGAACTAATGTGCATTGATGGAATTCCTGTTAAAGGGAAATCACACAAACAAGTCTTGGACCTCATGACAACTGCTGCTCGAAATGGCCATGTGTTATTAACTGTCAGAAGAAAGATCTTCTATGGAGGTATGTGAACTTGTTCCTACTCTGAAAAGTTAAAAAAGAAACAAGGTACTAGTCTATGTCCTGTGTAGTTTTGCAGGTTATTTTGTTACATTCAGTAGTATATAAGATAACCCATTTGGTGTGAACCAGAGACTCACTGTGGAAGGCCATGCAAGGACAAAAGGATTCAGAAATACTACTACTATAAAAAAATAAATTTTGGGCTTCTATATCAAGATTATTTTTATATATTGTTGCAGTTTGCCAATATGACATTATAGATGGGAGTATGGATTTAAATCCAGTTTTGTTTTGTTTCTTTGAGGCAGAGTCTCACTCTGTCACCCAGGCTGGAGTGCAGTGGTGCGAGCTCAGCCCACTGCAACCTCCACTTGCCAGATTCAAGATATTCTCCTGCCTCAACCTCCTGAGTAGCTGAGATTACAGGTACGTGCCACCAGGCATGGCTAATTTTTAAATTTTTAGTAGAGACGGGGTTTCACTATGTTGGCCAGGCTGGTCTCAGACTCCTGACCTCAAGTGATCCGCTCACCTCAGCCTCTCAAAGTGCTGGAATTACAGGAATGAGCCACTTTGCCCAGCCTAAATCTGTTTTCTTTTTTAAATAACAAATACAAAATTATTAGTCATACCACGATATCCCACTAGCTGAATATACAAAGAATTCTTGCCACTTTAAAATACTAAACATATAACTCTATAGCATAAGCCTCATGAAGGTTATGAATTTTTATTTGTTTAGTTATCTGCTGTATCCTCAGCACCTAGAAGAATACCTGTCCACAAAGTGGACATTAATAAACGTTGTGAACTGGATGAATATTTACATCACTCTTAAAAATGAGGCACTGTATTTTTTACTGCAACATTCAAAGTAAAGGCCTGCCTCCCTTGGTAAGCCTGCCTCCTTTGGTAAATACCATGCATTTAGAGATGCATACAGATTGCAATGCAGTACACCTCAATTTGGTTGTGCTGGAGGCCAAATGTAACTACTTACAATAAAATTGTGATGTTATACAATCTACAAATTGGCTCTTCCCTGGAAAGAATCATGAAGAAGCTTCATAGTAGTGTGATATTATTGGAGACATTTTAGCTAATTTATTCTAACCATGCATTTTGAAAAACAATTTTTTTTCAATAATAATTGGTTGTTTGTGGCATTTTGTTGAGATTCTAAAACATATTCTTAAAACCATGTAAATTTTCAACCAAAAGAGACCTTATAAATATGTCCACAACTGCAGTGTGTTGTGGTTAAAAATATGCCCTTTTTTAAAAATAGGACTAACTTTGTGTCATTCTCAAATTCTGATGTCATCCTTGAAGAGCAGAAAAAGATGTATGTTAACTAGCCATTTGTCAGAAATTTCATACAACCCTATCTACGCCCAGAAGTGTTTGCTGTTCATGTGGACAGCTTGTTATGTGCTGCCAGCAAGTTGTGGGGGTGGGTGTTGGGGAGGTAGAGGGTGAGAACTGCTAATGATGAACTCATCTTACATTAGCACTCAGGAAACTGCTATTGCAAATACATCATATAAGACAAATCCTATACAGATAGCAAACTGTTATAATGGGGCAGCATTTCTGCCATGATGTTTTTACCTGTAAGACAGACAACAATGAATATCAGTCACTGAACTAAATTATATTTATAATTGATTTTTAGAGAAAGTTCATTGTGTCATTCCTCATTTTATGTTTTGTTAAAATTATTGGTCCATGTTATAAAACCTGATGGAACTAAAATAATTTTAAGAAGTAATTTTTTACTATCAGATCTCACAGACGCTTTGAAGAACTTCCTTTAAAATGAGATCACGAGGTCAGGAGTTCAAGACCAACTGGGTCAACGTGGTGAAACCCCATCTCTACTAAAAATACAAAAATTATCCAGGCATGGTGACAGGCACCTGTAATCCCAGCTACTCGGGAGGCTGAGGCAGGAGAATTGCTTGAACCCAGGAGACGGAGATTGCAGTGATGAGCTGAGATCACACCACTGCATGCTAACCTGGGTGACAAAGCAAGACTTTGTCTCAAAAAAAAAAAAAAATGGGGTAACTTGAGATTGTATGTATTTTTCAGTAGTCCACCCTGAGTATTTGGGAAGTTGGATGGACTGCTGTTACCTACATCTTCACTTAGATTATGCCCAAAGCTCACATATGGGGCTGCTTTTCTATTCTTTATATTATTAGAAACTGATTTTTTCTGTGAGAGGCTTACCATAAAAACACTTTATAAAGTCACAAGAAATTATGATGTTCCAGAAATATCAAAACTGCTTATGTTTACTATAGAAAAACAACCTGAGGACGACAGCTCTCAGGCCTTCATTTCAACACAGAATGGATCTCCCCGCCTGAACCGGGCAGAGGTCTCAGCCAGGCCTGCACCCCAGGAGGCCTATGATGTTGTCTTGCAGCGAAAAGAAAATGAAGGGTTTGGCTTTGTCATTCTCACCTCCAAACACAAACCACCTCCAGGAGGTAAGGACTGTTGCTTCTTGTTGTCTCTCCCTGCAAGCCCAGTTTTCTGAGGCTCCCACTGGAGTTTATGAAATAATTAGGAACTATGTAAAGTCCCTTAGATACCTATCTTTTTAAGAATGGTGAATACTTTCCTTATTTTCAAAATTAGGTAATCTGAACCAAACCTTCCAGGCTTCAGGTTTATCTATCATCTCAGATTCCATAAAATATTTAATAAGTTTCAGTAAGCTCCATTTGCATCAAGGTTATACTGAGATAGTATGTCATAGATATGGATTTAATGAAAGGTATAATGCTGAGTTTTTTTAAATGGGGACATAGGTTTTGAAAATTAGAATAAATCATATATGTAGAAAAGAAATACTAGAAGCAGTTGAGAAGAAGCGAAGCAGATTAATAGAAAAATCTTAACCCAAATATGTTTTAGTTATTTCATGTTATTATTCAATAATAATTGTCATATTCCAGCTATAAATTATCCTTGTTGAATGATAAGAGGCATACCTTTTATAAATGTTTCATTAAAACATAAAAATTTTGTCAACAATTGGAAAATGAATCTAAATATCTTGAATTGAGTTTAACAGAATATTCTAATCCAGAAAGATGAATTTATTTATAACAGTTCCATCATCAAAGAAGGAATTACATCCAGTATATTCAGGGCTATTACGATTCAGCAAATGAAATATTTGTCTTGATGCTTCTATAAAATAATTTTTAATATAATTATAAAATCCAGTTGAATATGAGAACCAGCTTCAAGTCAAATGATAAAAATCTTTGACCACATGAAAATGTGCTCTTGCCTTTACAAGTCAGTTTGATTTTATTTTAGATAGTGAGATCCTTTTTGACCAAGTGAGTGGTTGCTAAAACTTTAGTTTAAAAAAAAGAAAACACTTTTAGGAAAGTGTTGTGAGCCAAATCAGTTTGCAAAAATCTTGCTAAAATTAATGCAAGTGTATAAAGGGAAAAAGAGTCCATGACATGGATGAGTTATTGCTTATAGTATTAGGTCCCTGCTCACTGATGCTAGTTTCCATTTTCCCAAAGCAGTTGCCATGGGAACACTTGGAACTGGAACTGTCACTGATGCTGTGAGGATGATTATATGGTCTGTGTCAGAAAAATGAAGGGAAAGCAGCTTTTAGTTGGTTTTTCATGTTGTATCATTGGAAGTCAGTACTTCCAAAAACAGATAACCATTTAGGATAATGATACTGTCAATCTCATAACATGCAGTGACCCCAGGCATTCAGATTAACTAAAACAGTGAGAGAGTATTACTCTAGTGGATAGTAGATAATCTAGAATCTAGTAGATTACTCTAGTAGATAGATGCTAACCACCTTTTATATTGAAGATATTCCCTTTCTAGTAGTACAGAAATTTGGGGAGAGTCTGGTGTTCACCATAAAACTAACCTATATACAGGAATTCAGTAAAATAAGTTGTATTGCTTAAATATGTTTATTAAGTATTTTTATATGTATATATTTGTAAATTTTTAAAAATTTTTAAATGTTTAAGTAGTTTTATATTTCCTTGTTTAAATCATGTTTTACAAAATTTTGATGATTTTACTTATGGATATGCTTCATCTCTATATAAGATAGTGTCATTAAATGTTGGGTTTTGTAATCTGACAAACTTGGATTCAAGTCCTGCTTATATCTTTTAATAGTTGTCTGATCTTGGGCAAATTACTTTCCCTCAGAGAGCTCGAGTTTATTCCATAAAATGAGGATGGTAGAGACACTTCCTGTCTCATGAATGTGAAGATTAAAGGAGCCAGGGTATGTGAAGCCCTTAGCCGAGGCCTTCAGTAAATGTTAGCTGCTGTTGCCTGTTGTAGCTTCTGCTGTCATTGTTATCACCATCATTATTATTTAGAAAATTATCACCATCTCTTGACTTTTCTTTTAAAAAAAACTTAGAATTTCATCAATACTTAATAATGAGATGGGAAAGAAAGCCCAATTAAAATGTAAGATTGAGGCAGCAGCTAAGATGTGGCAGGAAATGAGTATTTGCAGCTCATTAATTATCAGGCTGAATGGTAAATTAGGCTTAGGTTGCTGATGAATTTTATATAAAATACTTGAGATTTCTAGTCAACGTATAAAACCAGAATTGATCATCTAACTGAAATGCTAGTTAATAATCTCATAAAATGTTGAGGCCTGTGAGTATTCTTCTTAGAATTTTATTTTTCACATATAGACAGGAAAAGGGTCCTGGGGCAAATTCAAATGAGGAGCTTTTACTCACAGACATCGAACACTTGCTGCAAACTGTATGACAGAGAAGATTTGGTTCAGAAAGGAGTTAGCACAGGTGGAAAGGCAGGAAACCTGTCTGCCAGAATAAATCATTCTTTTTTTTTTTTTCCAGATAGAGTTTCGCTCTGTCATCTGAGCTGGAGTGCAGTGGCACAATCTGGGCCCACTGCAACCTCTGCTTCCTAGGTTTACGTGATTTTCGTGCCTCAGCCTCCTGATTAGCTGGAATTACAGGCATATGCCAACACGCCTGGCTAATTTTTTTCTATTTTGAGTGGAGATGGGGTTTTGCAATGTTGGCCAGGCTGGTCTCGAACTCCCGACCTCAGGTGATCCACCCACCTTGGCCTCCCAAAGTGCTGGGATTTCAGGCATGAGCCGCTTGCCTGGCCAGATCATTTTTTATGGACCTCGTCTTGGGTATTTTCTGATGACATATATCTCAAGAATAGTTCATAGTAGCATCCTTGGTACCTGTTATGGAATTCTGAGTTTCTCTACTGTTGACTTTTTCAAAGATCAGGGATCCAGGTTCAGCATCCTCACAATTTGTCCAACTGCTGAAAGAATGAAGTACTTAGAAAAGGCCTCTACATAAGATGAAAAAGACTTGGCTAGTTTTTGCTTTGCCAGGACTTCAGAGCTTTTAGTGTTATTCCTTCTTACCATATAGTTTTTAGTTCTGGTTGCAAAAGATTTCTTTGAGAAGGGAACATTTCCAGTTACTGATCTTTCTTTTCCTGAAAAGAAATGTTTTAAGAGCGCTAGAGTGATCCCAGGATCTGGACAAGCCAGGCTGCGAGACAGATTTAGGCCAAAGATGAATGAAGATGGATGAGTTTGCTTTATGGCAAATGCTTGTAGATTGTGTAGTGACAAAAACAAGGCAGGACTGAAGGTTTTTTCCTAGTTATGTGAACTCTAAGGGGCTACCTTGAACAGTTTCCCAGTCCATTTAGAAAATGTTCAAAAGCTACCTTTCTACTGGTTTGTTTGCTATTTTTAACTGTTTTAGTGGTACTGCTGTTAATACTAAGACGATAGCCTTCTGACTACTTTTACCTTCCCTTACCCAGACAACCAACCCTTTAGAAAGTTGTATACCACTGTGTATCAATTCTTTTCACCACACTGCTCGCAGGATGAGAAAGGGGACCACTAAGATTTCAGAGATTAATTTTATTTAATGCTTTCCCAAGTCTGAACAAACTCCTTTTAGTGAGCCAAGGAACTGAATGATTTTCTTCTCAGGAAATCTAGAAAGAATACTATGTTTGAGTAAATCTTTTGTAAGAAGGAGAATAACTGAGGTGTTGATTTAGAAGATCACCACAGGGCCACTGTATGACCTGCCATATGTTTCTGGTGTGCCACCTGTTGTAGAATTAGTGAATTCTCATGATGCCTGGCATACAACATGGCCCATACTGCACTGGCATTTCCCTAATTACTTTGTTTTTAAGGAAAGTAGAATAAGTGCTTGACTTAATTCAGAGCTATAAGTCACTTCCTTCCACCATTGACTTACTCTATTTTAAGATAAAATCTCCCACTGTATATTTCTAGAAGAGCCAGGGCACTGTCTGTAGGAACATAAATCATCATCAAGAATAACTTTTCTAGTCCAAATGAAGGTCTATTAAAATGTCCCTTACATACTCCTGTATATGATTCAGAAATACTAGTAAGGAGCAGGTTTTACTGTGGAAATTAAACATCATTCACAGTGCCATTCAAAAATATAAATTATCCCTAATCATATCAATCAGTAGTCAGCAGGAGCCCAAGTACTTGATAAGCTTACTGACATAGGGTAGGAAATTCTCAGAGGACATAGAAGCAACATTTGTTTCCTAATACGAATGCTGCCTGTTGCATGGTGGAAAATACTTTAACAAGATGTCATATCTGAGAACTCATTTCAAGCTATAATAATAGCAGAGTGTCTTACTAGTTAATCCAGGAAGGCCCTTAGCATTACAAGCTAGAGAAATAGTAGAGCTGCACAGAGTCTTTGCAGTTGTATTAGACTCAGCTTTGTGCATGTGTTTTAGAATTTGATCCATGAGTCAAGTAGTCTTAACACTTAACATACAATGTTCCAATTCCACTCAGCTTTTCAAATTTAAAAAAGAGCTAAAGGCATAAATAAGAGCAATTAATTTTCATGTGGAATTAAGTATCATTCATTTTAATGGTCAGTCACTTCACTGTACTTGAATTTCTGACCAATAACTAGTGAGTGTAAACTTATGTTTGACCCGCATTTATTTACAAGGTTCCTTTTGGGAGCAAGTGCCCCTTTAACAGAAGCAAAGATAATCTTAGTGTAGCAGTTTTTAAAATAGCTAAAAACTCAATGCAGCTTAAATGGCCAACAATAAACAATGAGACATATGATCAGTCAGATGATATCAGTGAGATTAGTAGCCCTTAAACAGAGAACAATTAGGATGATAATGTAAAAATTAGAAAAAGATTTCTGGTGGGTAGAAGATAGCAAAGAAGTTTATATACTATGATTACAACTGTGTAAAGAGTATTCATGCATGTGGGCAAAAGTGGGAAGTGGTATGAAAATACTTGTGGTTGGATAGAATGATGATGTGGTACTTTTTTCCTATGTTTTTAAATAGTTTTCTTTGATGTTATTATGTTGAATTTCCAAATGATGTTGATGATGATTATAAATCGAACACTAGCAGATACCTTAAATAATTGAAAAACCTGGGTTTTTTTTCCCGTAGTTATTCCTCATAAAATTGGCCGAGTCATAGAAGGAAGCCCAGCTGACCGCTGTGGGAAACTGAAAGTTGGAGATCATATCTCTGCAGTGAATGGGCAGTCCATTGTTGAACTGTCTCATGATAACATTGTTCAGCTGATCAAAGATGCTGGTGTCACCGTCACACTAACGGTCATTGCTGAAGAAGGTAAGGAGCCAGTAGACTTGCCTGCCCCAAGCAGATCTAAGAGGCTCAAAGACTGTGGGAAGCAGTGGCCTCCTCCAGTATTGCCAGAATCACTGCAGGGGACTATGTATGCACTCTGCAGTCTCATTCTTCACCACTTCCATTTAATGAACTTAAAAGACAATTTATTATAAAATTGTCAGCAGCTCAAGAAAAATAATCCAGCTAGTGAGTGTGGACCATTTATGTGCTAGAGAAGCAAGTACCCAGAAGTGAAGGAGACTGGCAATACAGGTCTTATTTTCTTAAAATAATGTCTTAAGTCTCAGCTTGAGTGAAAGAAAATCCTTTAAACAGTTCAAAGAAAGTCACTGTTGATACCAAATCTTGTATGTCAGGCCCATGCCACAATGTGCCTTTCCTTGGGGGCAGGGCTTTGTTCTGGGCAGCTGCTTTGTAAACAGGGTAAAGGAGTGTGTGGGAATGGCTAGTAAGTAGGGCATTAAACACATGCTGGCAGCCCTGGAGTCTTACAAACATGTTTAATGTCTTGCCTTGCTGTAAAGCTGCCCTTTGATCATTAAGAATTTCTAATTAGGAACCATTTTGAACCAGTCCATATTCTTTGTGAATTACAACATAACCACTATGTATCTCATTTTTCCTGATTTTGCAAAACTAACAAGGAGAAGCCAAAAACAGAATTATGAAGGGTAGACTTTGATGTTAAAATTCTTCATACTGTAATATGTATTCATGTTCCATTTTTCCCCCGTGACCATCTAATCTAGTTGATTTCCAAGTCTTTTATACGTCCTGGTTCTACCTTTTGTTTCTGTTCCTACTGCACCATTCTCATACATTTATTTCTAAGGTATTACGTAAATCTGTTCAAGATGCTGTAGGGGTATTTCTGCATGGACATGAATTGACTTCACTGCTCCCTTAGGCCCTGTCCAATTCTGGGCAGGATTCCAGATGTTATGACATCCCTGCCTTTGTTCTTTCCCTTCTCCATTCCGTTCCCACACTCTTCCCTGACTCTGCTGATTCTTTTCTAAAATCCTCTCTTGTAGAAGCTCCACTGCTTCCCCACTGTCTGCACAGCCTGCCTTTTAAATGTACCTCCCAGTTTTCTCTCCATACTGTCTCTAAGCTGGGCTTCACTGGCCTCTGTGCACATGGCCTTCCTCCCTCACCCTGACTCCTATAGCACCTCCTATCTCTGTACATTATTGGACATCATTCTCATGTAACTGTATCCCTATTTAAATGGTCTGCTCTTTGTAAACAAAAAACATTGGTTGACTATGATACTAAATACTCAGCTTTTTTTTTTTTTTTTGTGGGGGGAGACCGGGTCTCATTCTGTTGCCGAGGCTGGGGTGCAGTAGTATGGTCATGGCTCACTGCAGTCTCAACCTCCTGGGCTCAAGTAATCCTTTACCTCAGCCGCCCAAGTAGCTAGGACTACATAATTTTTAATGGTTTTTTGTTTGTTTGTTTGTTTTTGAGATGGGGTCTCACTGTGTTGCCTAGTCTGGTCTCGAACTCCTAGGCTCAAGCAATCTTCCTGCCTCAGCCTCCCACAGTGCTGGTATTATAGGCATGAGCCAATGTGCCTGGCCACAAATATTTTTTGAAAGAAGGAATGAGTAAACAAATGAGTGAACAAAGTAAACCTCAGGAGATTTTAGTTCTGAGGTCTTCTGTGCCATTACCTAAGCAGAGGCAATTTAAACCCAATAAAAGAAGTAAGGCTTTTGACAAAGTTCACAGATACCTATTAGCTAGTTATATGACCAAAAAAGCCTCTTAATACTTCTAATCTTCACTTTTTTAACTGTAGAATTGGAGTAGTACTCTCTGTTTCAGGATCACCACCAGGGGTTAAATGTGAAAGTGTATATAAACTGCATAAATACCCTACGGTGCTCATCTAATAGTTATTATTTTACCTGTATGACTGGCTCCCTCATTCCAGTCTGTTTAAACCTCACTTCCCAAGAAAATAATAATAGTATTTAATAAGTGTGTGCTATGCGACAGGCACTGTCCTAAATGCTTTACATATATTAACTAATTTAATACAATAATCCTAGGTAGGCCCTATTGTTTTCCACTTCTTGTAGATGAGGAAACTGAGTCACAGAGCAGTTAGATGAATTGCCTGTGCTTAAAAAATGTTCTGAATGCTTACTCTCAATGTCTATGTATCTCGTCAATGAACCACACTTTGGATAGCCTTGGGATAGATAGTTTGTTAGGAAAAAAATGACTTCTTTCTCTCAGTAACTTTTCCCCCCAAAATTACTGTTTAATGTTGATGATGTTTTCTCTAAAAGATTATCCAAGATTGTTCATAATTTTTCTTAGAATAAAAGTTCCCTTTCACATTCTGGCCCAAACTCTTATGGACAGATACTTGACATTTCTTGTGTAACATCAGTCCATGTTCAGAGAAATAGAGAGAAGGGTGGAGGGAAGCTCTGTAGCAGATACATATTTCAAGTATATTTCAAATGCTAGTGCAGCCTCTTAAAATGCAGCCACATTTTATATGTAAAATCACATTTCAGTGTTCACACATTATTTTATTGTACTCTAGGATTTTTTTAAACTATGAAACATTCAGAGTCTCTTATTTTTCTTAGGAAAAAAAAAAACAGAAAATCCCCCTTCTGTCCATGAAGATCTCATTCATGGAGTTTGTAAGCCTTCCAGTTTTCTCATAAAATTCAGTATAAAAAATCTATCAACTGCAGTAAAGAGTCAAATGAATATTTATAACTCTAAAGCTATTTTCAGAAACCATACATTCAGATCAATACCCCAGGGCCCCAGAGCTTCCCATCTGATGCTTCTCCCCTCTCTCATCAGCCATTCCCTATCAGCAGGTAAAAGACAGTTACCTAGAAAAAGAACAATTCTTGGTCTCTCCATCCTTTTTTTCCCCCTTTGCTAGATGCTGTTTAATATTTGTGCCTATGTTGCCAAGGAAATGGTAAGGCAGGTGTCATATTTCATAAAAGACTTTCAAACTGTAGCCAGGACTTGAGACTGTTCTCCATCATATGGCATTCCCACAACACTACCACCTCTTCCTCCACCATGTATCTTGTTTTTAAATACGGAACGTAAATTTACTATGTCTGGTAGTTCCTGCTTACTGTAAAAAAAAAAAAAGCCTTAAATTATATAATTTTTCAAAATTGATTTCTAATTTTTTGTCAGGTCTTGTAATTTTAAGAGTGAACATAAGTTACCAACGGCTACCAAGCCCTCCTATTGGAATGATTCTGGTAGTGTTGCAATAACTTTGTTTTGTTTTCAGTTTATTTGTCTGGTTGTTCCCATTTGTCTCCATTTTCCACTGTTATTTCTCTCACTGCTCCCATTGGCAAACATTCTAGTATGTGTTATGTACTGCATTTTATTTGTGCGTCTTTTAAAATACATTTTTAGTTGTGTGTTGGCATTTCTTTTTGAGTTATGTAACTGTTAGAGATTTTACACTGGGTTTTTCTCACAACCATGTTGTTGTTTTCTTTTAATGTCATTTTACTGTTCTAGGATCCAATCCAGCATTCCTCATGGCATTTAGTTCTTGTCTTCTTTTTTCTTTTGAATTGGGATATAATTTATATACTATAAAATTCATTATTCTAAAATACACAATTCAGTGGTTTTTAGTATATACACAGGATGTTGCAATCATTACCACTAGTTTCACACATTTTATTGACCCAGAAAGAAACTTCATACCCATTAGAAGTCACTTCCCATACTCTTGAAACCCTCATCCCTAGGCAACCACTAATCCACTTTCTGTGTCTGTGGATTTGCTGGGCATTTCATGTAAATAGAATCATACAGTATGTGGCCTTTTGTGTCTGGCTTTTTTCACTTACCAGAATCTTTTCAAGGTACATCCTAATTGTAGCATGTATCAGTACTGCATTCCTTTTTATACCTAATGAATATGTCATTATGCATACACATATTTCGCTTATTAATAATTTGATAGACATTTGAGTTGTTTCTACTACTGTGAATAATGCCACTGTGAACATTGGTGCTTAGGATTTTGTGTTGATGTGTGATTTCATTTTTCTTGGTTGTATACCTAGGAATGGAATTGTTGGGTCACATGGTAACTATGTTTAGCTTTTTGAAGAACTTCCAAACTCTTTTCCACAGCAGCTGCACCCTTTTATATTCCCACCAGCAACATATAAGGCTTCCATTTCCCCATATCCTTGCCAACACTTATTTTCCGTTTTAGGGGTTTGTTTTCTAGCCATTCTAGTGTGTGTGAAATGGTATCTCATTGTGATTTTGATTGGCATTTTTGCTGATGAGTAATAATGTTGAACATCTTTTCATGTGATTATTGACTATTTGTAAATCTTCTTTACATAGAGAAATGTCTATTTAAATCCTTTGCCATTTATAACTCAGTTATTTGTCTTTTTTATTGTTGAATTGTAAGATGACTTTATGTATTCTGAATACTAGACAATTATCAGATACATGGTTTACAACTATTTTTGTCCCATTCTCCATTTGTCTTTTTACTTTCTTGATACTATCCTTTGATGCACAAAAGTTTTAATGCTGAAGAGTCTACTTCAGCTATTTGCGGGGCGCTGCTTGTGCTTTGGTATCATAGCATCTTAAGCTTTTAAGATTTATCTGCATTGCCGGCTGAACATAACCGATTGCTCTTAACTGCTTGACAGTTTTCCATGAGTATTTGCCACAAATTACCTGTCCACTTCCCTATAGACAGCCACATTGCTTACAGTACTACAGTATCACAAACAATTCTACAATACACATCTTCACATATCTATGTTACAAAACAATATGAGAATCCAGGCATTGGTGGCACATGCTTGTAGTCTGAGCTACACAGGAGGATCACTTGAGCCCAGAAGTTTAGGCAAGCTTGGATAAAATAGCAAAATCTTATCTGTCTTTTTTTTTTGAGATGGAGTTTCGCTATTGTTGCCCAGGCT